TCTCGTATATCCATCCCATCCCGATGACTTTATCAACTGCCCGCCAGGTGGTGGTGCGGACAAGTGTTCCCTAGAGGTACCGGTGAGCCTTTCATGAGTTTTACACTCGAGATGTGAAGTGAACTTTTGATTGATTTCTACCCGTCTCAGTGCAAACGTATAAGAATTAATTACGGCTCTCGCCATAACGGCCACTACATATGGTTCGTATGGGTCCTTCAGCGTACCATCAAACAGTAGTACTTACGACTGAATTGACAGGTACAATTACGCCGTAGATACTGTGCTTCTGGGGGCGGAGGTTGGGAGGGAAGAGACTTGTACAGATTATTAGATATCATCTTCGATCGGGGGGTGACTGGACGCGTACAATGCCGAGATTCGAGAACTGTGACTACTACGGAAAATGGTGGAAAATGGTGTGCATGTGCAATGGGCAGCTTTCAATGTCGCGACGCGGCTAGAAACCATCGGCATTTATTGACTATCGAAAACCCATGATGCAGCTTGCACTTAGACTACCATGTTCATCCCACTTCGGCGTGGATCTCGTGACCGCGCTCCGTCACATCTGCAGGACCTGTCATCACTTGAGACATTACCGGTCTCACACTTTGGATGGCTCTCGACCTGATCTGATTACTTGAGCACCGTTCAATGTATCGTCAGTTGCGCGCCAACGTCATGGGCTGCCTCTATCATGCCCCCTAGATTGATGTGGAATTGAGAGCCCGCATTTGAGATTTTCTAAAGCTAGCAAAACAGATGACCTGGTTTGTGGCTCGACGGCTTTGAAGTTGCACACAGCGGAACTCGTAGTAGGTAAAACGATATTGAAATATATCCCTCGATTGACCGTTGTGGATGTAGGGTACCCCCGAACAACAACCTTCATATTCGTGCAAACGTCTTAACGCTCGTCTTGTGCGAGCGTTAAGGTTACTTATCAGGTTATAAGTGTGCCTTCGGCGATTCCTGGTGAGTATGGTATAAAGGACCTCTATCTGGCCCGTCAACATCCTCGGAGCAAACACAGCGAGTAAGAGGTCCCTCCAGTGCATGAAGTATCGTTTCCTGGCCTGTTTGAGGACCGCCTTTCGCTTTCGCAAGGTTACCTCTGGGGCTCACGAATATACTTGATGACAGCTAACTTCATGATCGTAGACCGATTCGAGAAATTGCTTGCCGGCGAACTCACTCCCATCCCACGGTGATGTCATGTAGGACACTCACCGAGGACCACAACATGGCGCATGAACTCTGAGAGAAGGAAGGTCATTCCCTGTCACTTCTGAGTGGGGTTGGTCAGTGACCGATTTCTGAGGGTGGCCTACGATTATGAAGTCAGCTGGAAGTGGCGCGCAAGGTATATAACCCCATCAGAAGGACTCATCTATGCTAAGTAAAGCCGGGTAAGAAAAAAGATTCCAGCATTGTGCACAGATGACGGACAGGACGCACTATGCCTACCCGTCAACACCTCGGGTTTCCCACCAGGAAGGCAATCTAGCACCCTCTCCGCACTCTCGAATAGAACCTCCGCAATGCAGTGCGCCCTTTTGAGATCCTCGTTCCAAAATGTGCCGTACGTGATTGGGGGCATCTGCCTCCCCAACAAAGTTGAGTCGCCTCGGCGGTATTGAACAAGTTCAACCCACTCCCCTCGTGAATCTCACGCGTAAAAAACGACAATGCACTCGATACCGAAACCATGCATTCCGTTTCGCTTTGTATAACGCGAGACTCACGGATTCGACCAAGTGGAATATGGTTCGAGTAATGTTCCGATTTCGAATGCTCCTGACAGGTAATCTTCCGAGTCGTTTTCGCGTGCTTGCCAGTTGATAAAGGGTCGTGGATTGAAAGCGAATGAAAGGTGAAACCGTGAGTTGTTGACAGGGTATGGAGGTGAATGTTACGAGTATGATGATAGAAGAGATCGTGCGAAGGTCTTACAGGTATGAAAGGTGTAGAGAACGGCTGGGTTGGGCTTGGCATGGTGGTCTGGACGCATGCCGCAAGCTTGCTGTAATTCCGTCATGTTCGCAAGCGCTAAGCGGTCTTGCGGGCGCTGGGACCAGCCCATAGACGCCTTGCTCAAGTGACTCCAAGCTCGTTATACACCCCCAACGAACTGGTACCAGTAGCGAAGTTTAGGAGGCTAATGATTGAATTGGAGGTTGCTCCGAAGAAAGAAGACGATGCAATCTAGGTTCGGGTTTGGGCGAATCCATCCCGTGCTATGGGTTCTTCTAAGGTGTTGCTCAGCAGTCGTTCGTTTGACCACTAACGGATCTCGTCAACGACTCTATGTTCGAGTATCGTATAGTGGAATGCTCCCTAGATTATCCGAACAGTCCAGGCTTGCAATCTCCCTCTATATTTGATACAAGTTCTTCGATGCTGGTAAGTATAGGTTAGGTATTCGTTAGTATTTATCTTCTAGATCTTTTAATACCACTAAAACGCATCTACCAGGTCCCAGTCGCGATCAAATCATGCATATCACGTATCGTCGTCTTCCAGAACAACCTCAAACCCGACCCTCAGCTCCCGAAATTCCTCTACCGCTCTTGGATTGACGGTAGGCAAAACGATGTTAGTTGCCCTTCTCCGACTCGGCCACGATGTGTACCCTTGGACGACAACTCTGACGTTTGTCCAAACATCTCCACGCTCAGTTTGTGTGAACGCGAAAGTGACCTATTTAGTCAAGTTTAGTGCGGAGGACTTCCTCAAAACAAACTCGTGAACTCGCTTACCTGTGGCGTATCGCGATAAATATGAATAAGGGCCTCCAATTCTGCCGAAAGCATACACGCAGCGAATGCCCTGGGTAGAAGGTCCTTCGAAAGTGTGGGGTACTGTTCTCTGGCTGCCTTGAAAGCGTCCAAGACCATCTCCCCAGCTTTCACGCGATTATCACTCCGGCCAGAGCGTAAGATCGTGTAGGTGTCGTACAGACTGAACATCCTACTCCGGAGGGCATAATCAATGCTACCGAGCAAAAAAAGTCATTCCTCGGGTAAGTAGGGAAATGGGGTATGATAGAAAGAATAAAGGACGTACTATCCCTCCTCGTTCGCCTCCAGATCTTCAATTGTTCTGTCCACAGTCTCGGATATATCGTCCGCAACGCAATACCCTCTTTTGACTCTGTTGCTTTGGATGAGGCCATATGTGAGCTGGGCATCTCCATCGCCCACAAAGTTGAGTTGCCACGACTCAACGTTGGTAGTACTATCCACCGACATTCCCTCGGGATAAGGCGGTAATGCAATGCTCCAGGAATGTTTATCCATGGGTGTTCGGAAGGCGTGATGGAAGGCTGAGTTGGGGTCGACGACGGATAGGGCGTCGAGGTTGAAGATGGGTTTCCATCCACGGTAGGTGTATTTATTGCGCGTTGCTTCACGATAGCTGCCCCAGAATTGCAGGGAGATGCCGTCGATGAATGTTGCTCGTGGATAGAAGGAGATGGCGAAGACGTGTGTAATGATGTTCATTACTACAGCTAGTTGAAGGCGTCATCAATATCGACATGAAGACATTGGAAGTTATTGCTAGTGAAGGCATAACGTACTAGAGCGAGATCTCAGAACAACATCAAGTGGGCTTGAATGACTGACGATGACCTGGATTCGCCTATTTCCCTTCTTGAAACAGAGCACGTCGGCAATCCCGTGGCGTCCAAATGAGCTCTGTAGCTCCTCCTCCTCTTCGTCGTCCTCTTCGGTACTTCCATCATCTTCATCTCCGTCTTCGCCGTCCTCATCATCGCCATCTCCATCGACGTCATCCTCTTCATCGCTATTGTCATCGCCATCATCGTTATTATTCTCATCCAATGCTGAGCTCACCGCCCTCCCCATCATGTTCTCTATCGCCTTCTTCAACCCCACATCCTGTTCCTTCCCGTCTCCCCTACGCGGCCTATACTC